TCTCTCTCTCTCTCTCTCTCTCTCTCTCTCTCTCTCTCTCTCTCTCTCTCCCTCTCTCTTTCATTCTTAAATTTGCAAAAGGCATAAAAAATTGTACAATTGAATACATAATAGGATTAAAGAGTAGTTGGAACGCTCCGCGATAACGATAAAAACAGCATGTACAATTACGCGGCACTTGTGCGTTGATATAATGGAGCAATATACTATGTATATTGTATATAGAGCACATACGCACACGATACTGCTACTGAAAGAACATTTTCAATAGAATTAATTCATCTATAGTGTAAAATGTGTAAGACGATTAATTTCTCTTTTTAAGATCACAGAATAGTAGCGATACATCGAACATAGCGATATTTCACTTTGAAGAGAGATATATGGGAAAGAACGGTAAAATGCGCGTTCTCCGTAAATAACTAAGTTCAATTTAAGTAAAATCACACTTATACACGTGCACACACGCATACATACACATATCTAACAATAATAGAGAATTGCGCGCAACATCGTTCGCCCCCAAAAATCGCGCTGATTAAAGCTAGTACGTGTGTTACGTGTAAATAAATGCTTAATATATTATAAAAAAGAATATAGCATAGTATAAATTATCAAATAGCTTAACAATACTGCTTACGCCAACAGTCGCTGGACGAATAATTGCAATTCTATTCAACATACACGCTGGAATTCGCGCGAATTCTCCGTAACATACATATCAATGTATACATATCAATTGTATTATATTTCGAAGTTCGAAAAGAATATTAGCGCTAGAATATATCAAAATCAAAATTTGGAATGTCATTATGAATTGTGTCGAACATTCGGCCATCCAGATTGTAGAGATCACCTCTGTCAAACTAGCTAACTAGAACTAAATGAGCAAAATCGAAAAAGATCTTTTTAACTATTTAGTGTTTATTTTGTGCTAATTTGTGCTACAAAATATAATTATATCGCGCATAATTATATCGGCACATTTTATATCGCTTCTATTGAAAAATGCGATTGATTCTGCTCGTGGCGAAGGGTACTCTACTCTTGAAAGAGGAGTCTCCTTGTAGGAGTCTGAGGTAGTTTCCAAAGAAACGGCGGGAGCATACAATCTAAAACTTCATATTTTGACGGTATAAATTACTTCTATCAAGGATATTTTATTCTTAAAATCAATAGGCTAACTTCATAATAAGTTAATAAAATCACGAATTTCTTCTAAATACAATATGTAATTACGAAGTTATGTTTTGTAGCACAAAATCAGTACTATTCATACCTACTTTCATTTTCCTTTTTTTTTCTTTTTTTTTCTTATAGTCCTGCTAGCTTGATGTTAAGCTAGCAACGTCACGCGTTTCTTCTAAATGGCATGTGGTACAAAATCGTTCTTTGTAGCACAAATTAGCACAAAATAAGCACTAAATAATTAAAAAGATATTTTTTGATTCTGCTCATTTGGTCCTGCTAGCATGACAGAGATATAGAGATCTCATGTCTTCGGTTCGAATCGCACGCCGTGGCGTATAACTTTTTCATGTCTAATGCTGTACGAACGATGATATTCATTATAACAATGTAAATACTAATTTTCATAATCTTTTAATGAGATCAACCTGTTATTTATCGAGTACTTCCTTGTTTAATTAATGATAAAAAAGAAAAAAAATAACAATCGCATTTTTACACTGCAAATTCAAGTATATAAAGTGACTTCAAAATATGTGTGTGATATTAATTTTCCGTGTAAAAATAATACTACATTATACCCGCATACAAAAATGAATGTACTATATTTAGGCCCGATTGCACCAACGTTATTTTAATTTTAAGTTAGGCTTAAAACTCTTTCTATCTCTTTAACACGAGACAGAGAGAATTTTAAGTCTCGCTTAAAGTCAAAGTGACATTGATACAACTAAGCCTTAAATTTGTAGAATACTGAGATAAAAAGTTTAATTTGACTAAATGCGTTTTGTTCATAATGATTATTTAGTTCAACTATTTATACATTTAGATTAACAAAATATTGTAATTTAAAACATGTTATTTATTTGAATTAACAAATATTTGCTTGACAGCCCGTGACCGCCACATTTAATTGAATCAATTAATATTTTTTTGGAACAGCAACTTTTTTTTCTCAGTGTATAGAGTGATTTACAAAACAAACGAAATTATACACATATTAAAGTTACATTTTACATACTTGGGTTTTGTAGTGTATGGAGAGCAAATATAATTTAGAACTCGATGTTTAGAAATAACTACTAGGGGATAAGAGGATCAGACTTACGCAGGACAAATGAAAAATGCATAAAGAATTATCGTAATATACGCCGTTACTTATACACCTAATAATAAATTTTTTCTTTTAAGTAGAAACAATTATTTCCAACGGATTATTTATCGAGTACTTCTCAGTATACATATATCTATATAGAATACGTTTTAATAGCAAAGTCGTTTCGCAAAGTTGTGTTTCTTTCTAATGATATAATCTCCACAGGTAATGTAATTCTTGGTCCTTGAATTCGATTCTTCGATTTCCTATCTTCGTCCGTCCGTCGAGTGTGTTATACGTGTATATATGTTTGTTTGTGATTATGTGCACATGATTATCGAAAGTTTCAGTTTTTAAATTCTCTTCGGAAGTTTTCCTCTCGAAAGAAATGTTCGGATATCATGATGTACGTCTCGATTCGATATAAATATGAGGACTGTCGCGATACGCCGCGTAAAAGTCGCTATTTAATTCACGCAGAGATTCCATCTTCTCAGGTCTGTCCGTTTTGATTATCTTGCAGCGTCAAGTTTCGTTTCGCATACTGTCTGTTTTTCAGTGTTGCGTTTCCTCACAAGGTCATTACTCATTATACGATTTGCCCACGTCGATGCGGGAGAATGATGTACGCTGATTGCGGAATTTCACTCCCAAGAATATTACAGTCAGAAGACGCTGATAAGAATGGGTAGAAGGTAAACTTTTCCGCGCGTACGCGTTATACGCTTGTGTGTTACTCCTTTCATCCTCTTTCAATCCTATCGTCTAGATCTTAGAGACGTAAAGCGGTCGATGAATCTGCTGCGGATTTCCATTCTGCTTCGAGTATCGCGCATTCTGCAGCAGCTCTCGGGTCTCACTGGGCGAGCTCGGGCTGAGACTGTTGGTGGTCGAGGTCTCGACACGGTCGCTGATAATTTCTTCCTCAGTAATCTGCTCCAGGTACAGTGCCGACTGGACCGCCGACTGATTGTCGCCGTTGATCGCGATCTGCGGCGTGTACGCCGGCGGCGGGCTCCGTGGCGGCGGGCTCCGTGGCGGCGAACCGCCGCCATCGACCTTGCCATTATCCTTGATCTCAAGGCATGTGTCCGATGACACCTGTCTCATCTGTTTCGCCCGTCTGGCATGGCGAGTGGTCAGTCCACCGGTTTCCACATCCCGCTCCAATCGATGTCCTGATCGAGATCTGGTGAGTTGCCGTTGTACGTATTCCTCGAGATCGTCTTCCTCCTTCTTCGCTATCACGCGATTCAGAACAATCAAGAAAATACCGACTAGGATTGCGAACAGGCCGACCGCGACCAGCTCGTTCCACCAGCCACCAGATGCTTTAGTGCCCCAGTGAGTGAGATCGCCTGGCAACAAGCCGCTCATCAGTAGGAAAGCGCCCAGTACCAGGAATACCACGCCGATGTGCAGCATTCCGATCGAAGTGACCACCTTCGTGTCCAGCATACCCTGACCGGCCGCACGCGCCCCGCTATGCGTGCCCTTGTGATGCCTGCCATGGTGGTCCAGCGATCCGGTTGAAGCTCTAGGCGATGTCAGGCCGCTTTCGCCCGATTGCGCGCTATAACGACGCTCGCGCGCGCGACGCTGCTCGTCTCGACGCATTCGCTGACGCTTGATGGCCAGCGCCGAGTGCAATCCAACCGCGTGCATCCTGCAACACCGGAAAGACAACCCTTTGGCTCAGTCAATCCCGCTAGTCAATTTTCTTTGACGAATTTCTACTCCCGCGAGCCTGCCTCCTCCGTTTCCATATCGTCATCGCGAGATCGTTTCTATTTATCGTTTCTATTTATTTTCTGATAATTTGTTGTCATCGAAAAGCACATGCCACCCCGGCCGGTATATTTGATCTCGCGATGTCGCGAACAATCAAAAAGCCGGAAGGAAAGAAATGCCAGATCAGACCAAATAAAATCACATTATTTTGAGGCAGGCAAAGTGTCGATAAAACAATTCTACGTGCCTGCTCGCAAACGAGCAATGAGGCTGAGCGATTAAATGAGCACAATCACATATACATTATAATAATTAATCAATCGACATCACTACTGACAGCAAACGGACTGAAGGAAAATTCGTGCTGATTTTAAGATATTGTCTCTACTGCCTCTATTATGCAATCTTATTTAGTTTTCGATTAGTCCTCATTTTATTCTAGCAAATTCATCTGTGTCTCAACATTAATTAGCTACTTCTAAATTCATCTAAAAGCCTACAGGATCTATTTATAGGATTTTACAGGATGCACTGCGATGGAATCACATGTGTCAAAGCGATCGACGACGGTGCGTGCATTCTCAGTTCCCTGCAAAAGGTCTCCTCTCAGCGTCCCCTCCCCCTCCCTTCCTCCCTTCCTCTCCCTCTCCCTCCCCCCCCCCAAAATGTGCGAGTTGATGAGCATATAATTTTCATATGACAGGTATACATTAAAAATGAACAACAGTGCTGATCTATGCTAACGTATCCGTTGGCGTCATAACTAACCGTTATCAGTCGATAATTAATGACAGTTATCAATATGGACAATGAATATACCGAGGTATCGATGCTTGAGATATTTCCATTCTGGAAATCTATGAAATTTTATTCGTATTTTTCATATACATTCTGATCAATTTTCCAATTTCCTAAAAAACGTAAGAATCTTATAGACTTGACTTCTTTGTCAATAAAATGTCATTATTTGAATATCATATTGATAATAATTCATTTTGTATAATTTTACGATAAACTTCTACGATAGGTATTTCTATTCTGTAAGGTTAGATATCTATGAAATATCCCTCACGGTTCTCGTATACGTTCAGATGGGATTTTTAAATCGTTAAAAAAAACGATCAAATTTTATAGAATTTCTTTTATACATTATCAATGAAAACTTAATGACTAAATTGTAAATCGAGAGCGATTCATTTCATATGATGAATTTATGATAAATTCTTATAGATATGTCCATTTTGAAAAATCAGATAGCAATCTGTGAAATTTCATCCGTATATTTCATATGCGTTCAGATAAGTTTTCCAATTCGTTAAAAAACAATAGAATCTTATTATAAACTTAGTTTTGTACGCCGAAAAAAACTCATAAAACGAAAGATTAATAACGATTTTATTTTTATCGTTAATACACGATTGATTGTTATTCGTTAAGAAAACGATATAAACAGATAAATGCCAATTCGTTATTTTACTATTCTTTTAGATACAATAGATTGAATCCGATAGAAAGAGATAGAGTTTCTATCGTTAGTTTCCAACAATTGTAACAGAATATAAATTTTATAAGAACCGATAAAATACGATAGGATTTATATCTTGAAAAATCAACAATACAACTTATAGAAAACGATACAAATTGATAGAAATTAGATCATTCTCAATCATTCTCTATTAACTTTTTTTTTATCTGGGTTAGTGTTTTAACATAAATAAGTACATTTCGGACTATTTTGATGTTACTCAGGATGCACCACATTGAGGCATAATCCGCTTGGCATCCCTCTAGTAAAGTAAAAAAATTTTTAAATAAGAAAATACAAAAGAGGGATGTCAAGCAGACTATGCCTCCAACGTGCAGTGGATAACGCCAAAATAGTCCGAAAGTAGTTATTTATATGAAAACACTATAATAAATAAAAATGGTTGTGATTATGAAAAATAAATTATAATTTTTTTTAACATAAAAGTGGTTATAACTCTGAAACGACTTATTTCCGAATCTATGTTTATATAGCTTTTTTGGGTCCCGAATCACTTCCCGAAACAATATGGGCGATTTTCCGGATACCCTGTTTAAAAAAGTTGGAAAAAACCCGGGCTTTTTTAAAAAAACTCAACTCACTTGGTTTTATGGGGGTTTTATTAGGTTTTATTGGAAATTTTTGGGTTTTTTAGAGGCTTTTTTAAATAAAATTGATTATTTGATATTTTTTTCACGTAATATTTAGTTTACGTAGTTGTATTTATCATTATTTAATTACATATTCAAATAAAATTAATTATAAATAAATTTTGTAAAAATGTTCATAAAATAGTGATAAATTTTTTAAATATAAAAAAAACACTTCTATATAATAAAAACTCAATAAAAAGAAAATAAGAAATATCCATAATGATTAAAGCTGGATCTTTTAATGCTTAAATAATTCAATATGAATTTGTATATATGTACTATCCAATGCATATGTACATGCATATACGAGGTCAGGCTATTAAATAACGAGACTGCGCGCGCAGAAGGCGTCCTAGAGGGGTAGGGTGGGAAACGAATGCAG